GCCTAATTATTGTATGCCATTTTGTATATTACTACACTCTTAAAAATAAAGGTGCTTCAAAAGGTTCTTCAAGCGATGCCATAGAAGAACCATTTTTGGTTCCACAAAGAACCATTCAGTCAAAGGTTCTTTAAAGAACCATCTCTTTCTTACCTTTTTATAATCTGAAGAACCTTCTTTCACCACAAAGAACCTTTTGTGAAACAGAAAGGTTCTTCAGATGTTAAAAGTTCTTTATGGAACCATTTAGACAAAAAGGTTCTTCTATGGCATCGTGAAGCACCTTTATTTTTAAGAGTGTACTTAGAAAAAGATAAAAATGAAAAATAATTAAATCAATAATCAAGAAAAATGCTATGGACACACACACACACACACACACACACACACACACAAAAGACAATTTTACTCCCTTCGGTTATAATTCAATAACTCCTGTTTAGAAGTACTTATGGGAACATTTCTTTTTTTCTGGTACACTTTGGCACCTAGTGGAATCAAACAATATAAGTTGCAGATAGCTGGTGCAAATAGAACCTGATTAACAGTCTTTCAAAAACAAAATTCTGGGGGAAAAAATCAACAATCGTTTTTTTGTAATATTTAAAACATATATACTGTAATTTATGAAGAATTACTATCTGATTTTGTATTTCAAGGGGTTTTCTATACAATGACACCATTTTTTTTCCATTTCCTCCATTGTATGTGTGTAGGGTAAACATTTAAATTTGGGTATGCCAAATCCAGGCGGAAACCCCCAAAATAACCCCAGAGCTTATGGGGCTAAGCAAGCCAAAGGCGACAGCGGCAAGGAACCAGCTTGATTAGCTTGTTCAGGTGTATTTAATTAGGGTTGGAGATAAACTGTGCAGTAAAGTGTCCCTCCTGGACCGGGTTTGGAGACCCCTGTTCTAAGATGTATAAACGACACTCGGTTGCAATCACTTTACACATTTCACCTCAGGAAGCTAACAGTATATCAAGAGCTATAACATTTTGTAAAACAACCTTCCTCATTGCGTACACTTCCTCTGAACAAACAAAGTGCAAACTAATAGCTTTGAATCAGTATTGTTGTATGCAAGCAAATGCTATGAGCCATAATGGTGATTAAAAAAAAATTCTGAGAGACAGCAGTTTGTTTTCCAGGAATAATCAACATCCTTAAAAGCATATCTATAAGTATTTGACAGTGGTTGCATAAACCACGTTTCCCCCTATAATTTGGTACAATTGGAATTTCCGAAAACTTTCCTTACCATCCCATATTGTTTGTGTTTTTAGCCTTTTCAACTTTAACCTTTAGCCATTGTCTTTAGCATCTGTCATCTGGCACATTGGCACAAATTGTCTAAATGTTCTTTTACCCTTAAAAATCTTAATTATCCCACACCGCCTTGACCATCTGGAATTAGTTCAGATGTAATTAACTATATTTGATAGTTTTCCCAATAATGAATGTTTGCCATTTCTAGTATTGTGAACTACTTAAGTCCCACATCCTGCTGCTCAATAGAAAATAATGCAACGTAGTGCATTTACAAAGTGTAGACAGCAAATAGTTGATTTCAAGCCTTAGAAAGATGCACTTTGCAAAGCCAAATAGACTGTCTGAAATATATAAACAAGGCCCTTAACCTTGAGTCATGGTGGGTTGTGGTTAATGATACCCCATAGTCACATTTTATTCTGATTTTCCCACTCTTGGGTTAACATAGATGTCATGTAACCAATGCAAAATATTTTCCCTGTATCTGATACACCTAGCGCAAGTACTACCCATTTCAATTCCTCAAAAACTATTCCAGCCTCAGGAGTCCAGTCATTGAGCCCTGAACTTAATAAATTATAGACAATTGATCACTGCTGCATTTCCTCTGCAGAACTTTTAATCCAACTATGCCTGTTACATCATTAAAATAAATCACAGCTTTTGAATAGTTCCAGAAATGTCTGTGTTCTTACATCCTCACAGCAGCTATAGATGTTACTGTATACACCCTATTGATGAAGCAAAATCTTTCAAAATATTTTTTTGCAAAGACTAGTGATGAAATAGTGGTTACATTGTTTATCATAGATAGTAGCATTGACCAAAGTGCATTAGCAATGGCAACTATCACTGCAATCTCTACAAGTAAGCTATAACAATTTAAACTCAAATGAATGTTTCATCACGTTTCATTTATCTGACAAATGATTTTGTATTGTAGTGTCAGTGGTGTCATGCTTGTCATGTGACACACACCAGCCACAATAGCACTGTTGATCTATAATGGGCGATGAGCAAAGTAGCCTGTAGTGTAATTTATTAACTATGCAAAAAACCCTCTTTTTACTTAAGTACCAGATATGGGTGTCACGCGATACAATATATATATATATTTTTTTATTACTTTATTTTTTCCTCCTTTTTTTCAAACAAATACAGAACAAAAGGATACATTCTAAAGAACAACCTATACACATAACAGACATATACATACAGTGGTCACCAAATATAACATATTACATTCATGAGTATTCAGATTTTGATCAGAATCAGTAATTCAACTCAAATTGTGAAACTCGTGTATTAAATAAATTCAATGCACACAGACTGAAGTAGTTTAAGTCTTTGGTTCTTTTAATTGTGATGATTTTGGCTCACATTTAACAAAAACCCACCAATTCACTATCTCAACAAATTACATTCTATTATTAATCCCTCATGACATTTAAAATTGAAAATATTTTTATTTTTTAAAGCTAATAGCAGTTACCATTGCTGGACCTGTTTTGTCCCACGTCTCAAGAATGACTGAACTACTAAAAACCATTGTTGTCCTACAAATCTCTTCTAAATGACGAGTTTCTCTTGTCATTGAACTTTTGTAAAATAACTTGATGGAATTGCTCTCTCTAGTTGTTTAGAATTTGTGGGCGGCGCTGAAATGCCCCTTTCTTCCCTTCTGTACTGCACCGATATGCGGCAGCGCGAGCTCAGTTCATTTTCAACAGGAGAGAAGTGGCAGGTAAGCAGAGTTTATTAATCCTGTGGATTCTTTGTCGTGTAGGCTCCTAGCGGCACTTACAAGATCAAACAAATCTCTGTTTACACAGCTGCTGCATGTTATTGACAAAACCGAAATGACTTAATTCATAACCAGTAAAACAGCATTTGATTTTTACTGTATGTCAGGGACATGCACAGACATTTTGAGGGGAAGGGGCTCAAGTGGGAAAAAAAGGGCACTTCTCATTTATATATATTTTTTCTAAACAAAATTAATTAACACAACTCTGAATTTATTTAAATTCCCTCACACTCACCCAGTGACTCCTGCTGTTCATTTTACATACATTTGACATAGTCTGGGCTCTCGCCAGACTACTCTCGCCAGACAGTAGAAAACATGTGATCAGCAGTGCAGGATTCAAAGCCACAAAGGATTTTCCAGTTTCCATACTGTCTTTTGTATGAAAGTCCTGTCACAACCACTGAGTGGCAACCACAACTTTTTCATGACGTACACAGGCAGAACATATGATACTGTGATGATGAATTATTACATATATGGCTAATATTCCAAGACTGTATACATCACTTAGCTCATAATCATTTGGCACCTCACACGAATATGATACCTCTCTCCCAAACATCAACTAGAAAAGCTTTATTATTTACTTTATTGCAGGCATCTTGAACTGAAAATATGACATGTCAGTTTTATAAATAATATCAAATCAATATAAATATAAATAAAGTGGTAACAACCTTAATAACATTTGGTTTCAGCCTTTGTGAAGATTTTAGATGACCTTAACACCTGTGAAGAGATGACAACAACCCCAGTGAGAACTTCAGATGATCCCAACTCTGAATCAACATGCAAAACTGCAAAATTATCCTTATATTGTAATCATTATGATCACAATATGTAATCATTGCCTTAACATGTTTCTGCTTAACTGAATGATGTTAACTAAGCAAATTCAGTCTGTATCCAGACAGATGGCGGATCAGCACCTAGAGACAACCACAACATCTCTGAATCAGACACTGGTCAGGGCAGGCAGCAAACGATCAAAACCAGGCAAACAGTCCAAAGTCAAAAAACACAGTCAAGGCAAGGAACAAAACAAGGGAAGGAAAACGATCAGTAGTGTCCACAGTAGCAAAACAAGACTTCACGATGAGAGTGTCACCTTGTTCAAATACCCGCACTTCTGGTCTTTGCACTTAACCACTTGACTGCTTATATGATGTATTTCCTGTATTTGGTCCGAATATTCAAGTGAGCATGAAGACCACAAGTGTGTGTAGAATTTTTCGTTACCTGACTTGTAAAAATGCAAGTGTTTACAGAGCTTTATTTTTATTTTAAATACTTTGCATTTTAAAATCAACTTCTACATTTCTGTTCAGTAGTCCCTATAACAGATGACACAGTTTAATTTTGTGGTGCTTCTAATTAAGTGATAAAAAGCAGTTGCAAATGTTGTACAAAATAATTATCACCACTACTCATTTGCACCAATAAAACGTGCAACTCTTTGTTTTAGTACCAATTTATATGTAATATCTAACTATTATAAATTTTTAACATACATTGGAAAGGTTTCCTTGACCTCTTGTGAGATCTCAAGTCTCACAATTTATTTCCACAACATGATGCATGATGGGATACACTAAGCCTTGAATACCACTCCGGAGCAGTATTCGAGATAGTGTGGATTTAGTGTGCGATAAGGGCACTGCGCTTTGGCATTTTTAAGACCTGGGACAGTCTTGCGCACTTATCTGTCGCACGCATGCACTTTCAAGTGGCCAAGACCGCAAGTGTGGGTATTTGGACAAGGGGACTGTTTGTGTGCAGCTTATATAGTCCACTGATAGGAAACAGGTGTGACTGTAATTAGTGACTGTAATGTCACCCATTAGTCACATGTTTGTCATCTACTAGAATTTCACTATTGTAAGAAAAAAGGCAAAAGCAAGATAAATGTTATGTGCGGTTATGGTTTATTTGGAATGAAATCATTACATCTCATCTATGTAACATTGAAAAAGAAAGAAATAGCCTATTTGGATTAAACACCACAACTAATTGCATTTTAGTTATTTGTTATTGAGGAAAGGAAGGAACATTATTGGATCAGAGAAATAAAGCCACTACTATAATACACCTCAATGCATGCAATGATACCACAGTGAAACACATTCTCCAGTTTTTCATTATTTCCTCCAGTCAGCTAAAGGCTGATGGATCTTATCTTATATTACCACAATATAAAAACCCTTGCCTAACCCTAACCATATATATTTACATTTACACTGATTAAAAATTATGAGTATTATAAGCATTTTATCTCAAGAGCCAATATTTGAAGTACACAGTGGCAAGCTAGATTAGTACACATATTGTTCTTTACAAAATGAATGTCTAATGTGTAGGCAGTTAAGCTTACACAACCTATGAATAAATGTTCCAAAACTCAGTCAAAAGACATTCCAGACACTGACTGGAAGCTACTGTCCAGCAGCGTGGGAGAAGTCACATCTGAAGTCACACCTGAAGGGGGAAGGAGGTATTTATACAAAGTATACAATGATCATTAAACAAATGAATGAAGGTTCCTTAACATAGGAGTATGCTTTGAATAAACCATCATGGAGAAAATCAGCCTATAGAAAGTGAGACGATATTACATAATATTTATCACTTACCTCCACAATCTCTTGGTCTATTCCGACCGATTCGATCAGCTATGGACCACAAATAATTTTTTATTTCAGCTTCACAGTCTATCCTCATTACACTTTGTTTTGATGCAGCATCTGAAAGAGAAAACTCGTTTAAGAATTCATTGGAAATTTGTTGGAAGGTAGTGCTTTAAACTCACAGCTGCTCTTGTACACTCTAAAGAATGTATATGAAATTTGTAGACATCACAAAGTTCACCAAGTGATTGAATTCACAAATACATACAAAACATGAGTAAATACAATATTTCTATGTGTATGTGGGAAGTGTTCATGCAGCAGTGATTACCTCTGATTACATCTGTTAAAATAAGCTTAGAGAAGGGCTTTTTATTTCCTCTCCCCTGCCAGTTAAACTTTGTGGCCAGATCATCTGTTAGGACGTGCCGCATAATATTCTTAATCACATCCTTTTGCCCAAAACCTCCAAGTCTTGACAGATATCTTACCTATAAAAAATAAATAATATTTTATAACTGTTTTATTAAGTGTTGTTAATAATTATTACATGTCTTGGGATACTTTTGAATACAAAAATATTTTGTATATAGACCACAAAACTGTGTATGTACAGTAGAAGAGTAATAATGAATCGGCATTATTATTATAATACTGTATTTCATGTCCATTTATTTTATTTATTTATTTAGTAGGTAGCCGTGGAATAATGTACAGCCATTATTGCCGAATAAACCCCTTACAGGTGCTACAGGTGAGAGTTTATTTTTCTGTAATGGCTGGCTGAGTGTACATTATCCCTTTCTGTAAATGCCGTGTCGACTCACATATTTTTGGCGTGTTGTTGCATTCTTTGTGAGCTGTCTTTCAGTCCTGGCCACATCTTTAATGGTTCTAAGAGGCAGTTTTAGGTTTGTTTTAACGTCTTTATGAGGAATGCTGGTACTGCTGGGGACCTCAGAAACCGTATTGTCTTTTAGCAGTTTCTTTAACATAGCAGAGTTTTCCTGAACTGTGCTCTTGATGTCTCTCAGCGTTTGGAGGAGCTCATCCTTGTCTGTAGTGTAAAATGAGTTGTGCAGTAATTACAAAAAAGAAAAAACTTCTCAAACTGATTATGACAAAAGAAGTTGACTCACCATCAGCTGACATTCTGGATGTAGATGCAGATGGTGCAGGAGGAAGTTGTTGTTTTAACATTTCTTGAGGGCATTCAAGTCTTTGTCTTTTTAGCATTCCAGGGAATCTAGTGGCTAATAGATATGGCCTTTATTTGAAAAGAAAGAATACTTTAACAAAACAGCACAAATGAATTCTTTGACCTTTTAATAAGTAAAATCATTTGAACAAATTTTGTTTTTGGAAACAAAAGTGTCTGTTACTTACCGTTCTTTCCGTTCTTTGATTTCTTGTTGCTCCTCTTTTGCCTTCTCAAAAGTGACTGTAATAAGATAAATATTTATTGTATTATTTGAGAACTGAGTAGACTGTACTAAAAAAATCCTAAATTTAAACAGTTGTTTTAAAGTAGTGACCATTACCATATTCTCTGTGAAAGCTAATATTTAATTTCTCCCATGGTTTCCCTCCTGTTTCAGCTTTAATTCTGTTCTGAACAGCTTCCATGCACTTGTCTGGTGATTTGAATGGGGGCCAGTAACATTGTTTCTTGTCTAGGCTCAGCCAGTTTGATGCTACCACCATCACCTCATCTGAGTCTTGCAGAGTAACAACTGCATACATGGTCAGTCTAGTGGAGGGAGAAAAGAAATCAACAAAACAGCATGTTTAGCTCTGATTGTGAGTCCTTAATTTTAAAGTTTATTAAAGGGGTCATATGATGTTGCTAAAAAGAACATTATTTGGTGTATTTGGTGTAATGAAATGTGTTTATGTGTTTATTAAGGTAAAAAAGGTTTTTCACAATGAGGAAATCCTGATACAGAGTTGGGTTTGACCGTTTTTGCTTTTCTATCTCATCCTGAATATGAGACAACCTCATCTCAGTGCAGAATGTTTTGGGAGTGATCATGACAGTAGCTGAATCTTTTGGTGCATGATCCTTTGACTGAGACTCCAAGTAATCACCTAGACGTTTTGCCAGAATGGTAGCAATGATGAGGTAATCAACGTTAAAGAAGTGTTGACTATTGTCATGGGGACTTTTCACAGTTTCATTAAAGTGTTGCGTTGTGATTGGCCGAATACCTCAAGCGTGTGACGGAAATGTTATGCCCCTTACCATATTGTGATGCCCTGTCTGGCCGGAGTGACCAGACAAAAACATTAAAACCCATTATAAAATAGTTTCGCTTTCACAACGAATCACACGGCGGGCTAGAGTGAGCGAAAGCCGGCTTGAGTGAGCGGAGGCGGGCGGGCCTGAGAACGGCTTCTTCACGGTGAAAGCCGATCCAGCGATCCAC